ATTTGAAGAAAAAAAAAAAGAATACTCTGTAACCCCTTGTACAACCTGTCATGGACTGACAGTTTCCCTTGGTCTTCCATTAATCCCAGCATTTCCCACACAGCTTTAAGAAGCTTGTTGGTCTCATGCAAAGGGAATAAATATCTGTTGTGATCAGATTCCTCTTCTTCTCCTGACTCCGCACATTCCCTGTATTCCGAGTCAGAAGATGAATCTGAAACTTTATTAGTCATCTCAGCACTAATCATGTTACCTGGATAAGTACCTGGTTGAAAACCTGAAGAGAAAGGGCCCTCAACAACAGATGGCACCCAAATCATTCCGACACTATCTTGAATCACAGATCGTAACGACTGGAAGGTCGACACCATTTCCTCTCTCATACAGTCTATCAGGCCTTTAACCCTTTAGCTGCCAAGGACGTACGGCATACGGAGCTACAAAAGTGCTTCCAGCTGGCCATCTCAGTATGCCGTACGGACCTGGCATTTACAGTTCTTCTATAAGCTGATGACCGCTATTTTCAAAAATACCGGACGCCCCCGTAAATAACTGGGGACACATAGTACTATGTGTCCCCAGTTATGAATGAACAGGCTGCGATCTACATCACAGCCTGTTCATTCAAGAATTTATGAATGGAGACTAGCACTCACTACAGAGGCTCCTCCCCATTCAGAAACTAATGATAGTAAAAATATTTTACTATCATTAGTTTCTGAATGAATGAGAAGCCTCTGTACTGAGGCTTCTCATTCATTTGAGTGCTGGGGCTGCAGAAAAAGAAATTGAGGACTTATGTCCTCAATTTCTTTTTCTATTTCAAAAGGGAAATGTCAGGGGTCTATTTAGACCCCAGATATTTCGCCGCAGCCCCCCCAACAGTAAAAAAATAAAAATAAAAAATTATTAAAAAATAAATAGAAAATGTAAAAAAATAAAAAATAAAAAAAATAAAAATGTAAAAAAAAAATAAAATAAAAAAATGTGTAAAAAAAAAATAATAAAAAAAAGCACAACCCCTCCCTCCCCCCACATAACATACACATATTGAGGTGTACGCCATGCACATGCGCTGCAGTGCGTTGTTAGAACGCATCGCAGTGCATGATTTTTTTAATGTATTTTTTTCTTTAAAAAAAAATTAAATTAACTGTGGCAGCGCATGGCAAAGCTTTGTGACGCATTGCCATGCGTTGTGATCTTTGTGTTGCAATAAATATACGCCTGTATCATTTTATCACAACACAAACACCAACACAGCGTGAAAATTTTTTTTAACATAAGTTGCTTATTTACAGTTTTGCGTACCGTAATTTTTTTACCTTTTCGCAAAAAGGCGCAATTTCAAATTTGCAAATATTTGTTATTTATTAACTCAATACAGTTTTATCTTTTAGATTTAGTCAGAAAATTATTATTTTTTGTGCGCTGATACTGATTTTAGTGTGTTTTATCAATTGAATTGTGTATTTTTATCGGTTTAATATGAATTTGAGAAACATTTGCGCAATTATCGCACGGCCTACAAATTTAGTATCACCATCTTTTTATTCTACCGGGCCTGCGCTTTCAGAAAATATATGGTTTGGGGGGTCTTTTACAAACGCTAGCAACGCAGCAGTTGAAAATCAAATCAATAGGAAAAAATTGCAGAAAATTCAAAAATGGCTTGGCCAGCTGATTTGAAAAATGGTCCGGAGGGCTTGGCAGCGAAAGGGTTAAACAGGCCTGAAGATTCATCCGCCACTAGCTTCCCCACACAGGACTGGCAAAGCAGCTTTTTAAAAGAGGAAGAATATTTAACATTGCAGGCGACACATGTTTTGCTTTGGTGTGTGTGCTGACTGCAGGGCAAAGATCTTTCTTCAGAGGCCTTGGTCTGAAAAACATAACACCAGAGCCTCCGTGGAGTATAGTAAAAATAACCCCATGATTTATTATCCCCAAGAGTGTGCCAACCCAACCCCTCATGCTCTGACAGGACTCCATACACAGACGGTACAGATAGGAAAGGAGATCACCATTTTGTTTCTCTTTGCCTACCTTAGAGCTGCTAGCAGTTGGATCCACCAGATCAGAAAAAAACTGTAAACTATGGTAATCGAGTCTGTGCTTAGAAGTCCCATCTGCACTGATGACTCCAGCTCCTCTGCTCCGCTCCTGATGCCCACTCCCCCCCTTTGCAGGTGTGGGAACCGCAAGATTTCTACATGCTGCTGCTTCTCCCAACCTCCTGGTTACTGATCACTTTCTGGAGCCCGATGGCAGAAAACTGAGCAGAAACCGTCCATCTTGCTTCTGCGCGAGAACCCTCTCCGTGAGGGCCTGGCTGCCGGGTTTTCCTGAGAAGACTCTGCGCACCACCGGTCTGGCATCTCCAGGTAAGAGGTGGCAGCCAGGCCGCAGGACCAGGTAAGAGTAAAACACTAGCCCTTGTAGTAACCCAGGAGTCAGGGCAGCAGCACATTCTAGGGAGGGCTCCACTGAGACCACACCAGGAGGATGGTTGCCATACGACGTGTAGGAAACCTCAGGCCTTACTGTAGCGTGGCAAACTCAAGGACAGATGGGGGCTGCCCCAGAAAACCCCACCATGTGCTCCTCAGTTCTACTGTTGCTGGAATGCAGAACCCATGAACCAGGAGGCCCCTACAACTAGCACGAAGGCCAATAGAAAATAAACAAAACATTACGATGTTCTTGCTTGGTAAGAGAAAACACAAAACAAAAAAAAAGGAGATATGCAAGTGTTGTGTTCTTTTTATTAGGTGTGAGTGATGTTTCCTGTGGTAGGAGTCTATTTCGCTGATGCTGTCCTGGAAAATAACTAGGGAAAACTTTGTTTACATCTTGCTGCTGTCTAGATTCTGCGGTCGGCAGTAATAGCCAGACTGCTATTGGCTATTTTAAGTTGCAATAGCAGACTGGCTATTGTACCCGCCCACTGAGCAGGAGACAACCTGAGAATTTTTTTCGCTCAGGTAAGCTCCTCTGCTCAGTGGGCGGGTGTAATAACCAGTCTGCTACTGACTATTTCCAAATTTCAATAGCAGGCTGGCTGCTTGAGAGTTAGTATTAACTCTCAAGTAACCAGAAACAGCAGTTATCCGGCACCTACCGATATCCCCGAAGGTGCCAGATAAGTGGGAGTTTACGATACAATGTACTGTCAAGAGCACATCAGAGCAGAATGTAGGACAAACTCAGAATGCTGACGTGGTTCATAAAAAGGGATTTACTAAATGTAATGGTAGCTATAGCAATTGGGAGATAGAGATGACTAGGGGGTGCTTTGGTGTGCTGTTCACACTATCTGCAGCAGCACCTGTGGAGGGACAGCCAGCCTTTTTTATATGCTCAATGGCAGAACCCCCAAACCTTCTCCTATGGTGGGATTAGCAGGAGAAGAAGGAAAGCAGGCATTAGCAGTCTTCCAAAAAAAAAAAAGCTGCTTGAGGAAAAGGGTGCATTAGTAGTCCTCAAAATAAAATGGTTGCTATGCACCCTTAAGGGTAAGGAAGGTGGAAAATGACATGAGCAGTACTTTAAAGGAGGTGGCCACTATGTGCCTTGAGGAACAAGGAGAAGTTTTTGCTGCTAACCTGTGTAATTGAGGTGCTACTGCCTTCCAAGCTTGGTGGAGAGAAGTCATGCGTTTCCTCATGCATTTGTTGTTACCCAAATGGCTGTTTTACCACACCTGATAGACTGCAGACCACAACAGTGCTGTTGAGCAGAAACATGATAAAAAGCCCAAACTGAAAAGCCAATTTATCCCAAACACAAATTTATTCCATTCTTGGAATATTTTGGGGAATAATTGAGATAGGAAAGGGTTCAGGGAATGCAAAGTTGTGGAAGTTTTAAAGTGTTTTTGTGACATTTGTTGTTTGTTTTGACATTTCATTAAAAATGTTTAAGACAATGCAGTGTGGTACGGGGGAATTTTTTTTTTTTTTTTAACAAAGCTATACTGTTTTACCATTGGAGGGATTGTTGGGATGTTGATTGAATGGTAGTTCCCCCAAAAAGGTATGACTCCTGGGGGGTGGGGATGGGAACAGGTGTGACAATTTCAGTTTGCCATATTTGCTGGGAAACTGGAATTACCCTTTACAATTTGTTTAGCATTTATTTTTGTAGTTTATGGATACTGCATACCTAAACAATGCAACAAGTAAAAAGATAAAAGGCAACTGATCTAACACAGTATCTTTAATAAAATAAAAAAAGCAGAGGCTTATGAAACAGTCACTTTCTAGGAAACAATACAAAAAATTGTACTTAAAACAAGAGTTTGTTTAAACACAAAGTCCAACTGTCTTGTGTGGAAAGCTGAGCAACTTTATCCTGATTTATTTTGGAAAAGTACTTTCATACTATTAGCATGACTTGTCAAAATAGTGAAACCTGTACTATGTTCACTTGTCAGGGAACAAAATCAAATGCCTTAAAGTAGGAACCAAAAAATAGCAAACCTATGGAATATAAACAGTTCAATACTTGCAGCCAAAATGCATGCCAGCAGTGGCGTTATGTGGAGGGTCAGTCCACCCAAACTTAACATTACATTTTTGGTAGATGCTTGAAATAGGTCTTTCAAGTACTTTCGTGGTGAGATCTCTGCAAATGAGATCCTAGGTCCGCATACTTGCCATGGAAGCAGCAGGTTCCACTCCCCATCTTGAATTTAAATACATTTGACACTGGATAAAAGCGGAGCAGAGGGAACACCTCTGTTATAGGCAGCGGAGTGAGGACTCCAAGGTGGACATGAACAGAGTCATGAACTATGGCAATGTAATCTTTGTGCTGGTTTCCAAGATATACTTACCAGATTTCACTTAAACCTGAAATATCACTTTTGGATGAAATGACCCATAGCAGTGCACACAGTTTTAGAAAATCTTTCCACAATATTCTTTACTATAGTTTAAAATTTGGAGGAGTTACAAAACAAACAAATAGTATCTGGTGTCCACTACTGCCAGTGGGAGGTAAAATAATTAGTATTTTGGCCAATAGGTTTTGTGACCCACATATTAACATACGCCATTTGAATTGTATTTACAGGAATGTAAATATCTATCGGTCAGGGCGTGCCATGCCTGGACGAGATTGAAGCATCATGGGACGGGATGGTGGACGCATCATTGGTGGACCTGGCATCATTTGCATGTGAGCTCCCATTGGTGGTCTCATACCAGGACCTAAATGGGACAGAAAGAACAAATTTACAGATACTTCTACACAATCACATTAAACCCATAAATAAACCAAAAGGGGAAAAAAAAAAAAAAAAAAGACACCACAGACACGCACCACATTATGCCACAACTAAACAGTACATCTTAATTTAATGGTCACATGGAAAATACAAACTTGGTGGTCCTTATACATAAAAAATGCCACAACATAAAGATACTGGAAAAATCAGCCTAGGAAGTGGAGGTAAATGTTTTGAAACATACAAAGTATATCACAAATCAAATTAGTATCAGAAGCCACTGAATAGCTGCTTTTATCTGAGGCTTCTTGTAGGTACAGTGGGGCAAAAAAATTTTTGCCCCACTGTAGCAGGATCCTAAACAGGCAGGCTTATGCCACTAAAATTACTAGTGACAAATTCAACAGCAGGCACACAAGGCACCATATGGTGAGTAGAATTGTAGTAATCACATTTTACTAGTTCTGGGATTAAAAGGATATTAAAAAGGAGAATTATGAGGCGAGTGATTTTTCACTCAGCCTCATAATCTGAGCCGACATGTGGACAATGAGACTGTCACAGGTCGGCTCAGTAGATTGGGAAGTGAGCGAACACATACATTCGCTCTCTCACTTCTCTATCTATCGCTGCAGAGAGCCGTGACTAACTCACAGCTCCGCGCAGGGATTCCCCCTCTGATCCTCCAGCATTAACTGGAGGAACGAACGGGGGAGGGGGCAGGCACAGCTGGCTCTGCCACTGGATAGGCAGAGCCAGCTGTCAATCCCGCAGCTGGGTGGATGTCGACAGCAATGTCGGGATACGTCCCGGCGTCTCAGTATACCGCAAGCTGTAGCTCACGGTATACAGAGCTTTGGGTGACGGGAGGACGCTAGTTTGTGTTTTCCCGTGACTCGGAGAACTATGGGGAAAAGCCCTGACCCCATAGTTCTCCTTTAAAGTCTAAATGTTTGTAGGTATTTCAATTGCTTCCCAAATCACTTACAATGGATGTTGCTCCTTGATGTTAAAAAGTTATAGCTTCCTGCATAATCAGCTGGTCCTCTCAGCACTGACCCCGATATTCTGTATTAGGGTGGCTCCTTTCCTTTGCAAGGTCCTTATGGAGCTGTGCATCTCTCCACAAAAACACAGACACAGCAAAGGAAAACCAGTCCCCCGCTCCTCCTTTCTCCAAGCTCGTAGATGTGCAGCGACTGGAAACTGCTGTTTTGTGATTTTGTACTGGACAGGAAGTTCAGGGAAGCTGAGCTGAGAGAGTTGGAGCCAGCTGCTCAGAAGCAGGACTATAAGTGCTTGGCCAAAAATATAAAGACATACTTTGCTAGGCAATGTATATGTTTGATCTGGATACATTATTGAAAACAAGTTAGAGTTTAATACTACTTTAAGCAAAAAATAGCTTACCATGGCCCACTGGCATCATTCCTGGTGGAGGAGGTCCCATCATTGGCATCATTGGGGGCCCAGCCATAGGTGGTGCAGGCATCATACCAGGGCGTGGGGGTCCTCCTTTATATAAAAATGATTTGTGGTAAAAGCCATAATAATAAAGTGAAATATGTAAATGAAATACAGCAAGGGTTAGAAAGCCACTGTTAGCACATAAAATAAAAATACACTTACCTAGGTTAGGTGGCGGAGGAATCATGGCACTTCCAGCTGGTGGTGCAGCAAAAGGTGTGGGCGGTATTTTTCCTTGCTGAAATGCAGCAGCTACAAATAAAAATAAGTAAATAAATAGAATACTTATAAATGTGTTTTAATTTGGGCCTGCAACAAATTCAAAAACACACTGCACCATTTTCGGGACGTGTACCGACTCCAGCACTAAGTTCAAATCGTTTACTTGCGCCCTATTTCATTGTGGCACAGTGCATGTGACATTCAATAAGCTCTGAAAGTTCAGTAATAAAAAACAAAAACAAAAAACAAGACCAAGTATTTTGAGAGAACTAGTCTAGGTCTGAAACAACTAATCGATAAAATCGATTAGTCGAATCCTAGATTGACAGCAGGTGGGTGCAATAGCCAGCCTGCTATTGCAATTTGAAATAACCAATAGCAGGCTGGCTATTGCTTCTAGCCACTGTGTGCTGTGAAAGGTGTCCTTTCCCTAGTTAAAGCTATTAAAGTGGAAAGGTGACATTAGGGGTTCTAATTGAACCCCTAATGTCACCTTAAAGAGAGTCACCTCCAATGTGCTATCACATAGGTGGCTTGTGAGCCCCACCATGTGATATCAATGAAGTTAAAAAAGAAAAAAAAGTTTAATAGAATTAAAAAAATACCCCCCAACCCCACGAACATACTAACAGAATCACAAGTCGGATGCACCTACATACGAAACGACGATTGCGCTACACATGCAATAATTCTCGGGCAATAGGTAGAGTGTAGTTTTTATTTTTGTTTACACACACACACACACACCTTGAAAAAGTTTAAGGCGTCTCACCAGTCAGTCAAAAATTTCACCAGTCAGCATGACCTTTACTCCCGACGTTCACGGTGATATGCAACATGTGCGGCAAATAGGTGTAATTGTAGTTTTCGCACGTAGGCGCACCCGACACATGTTTGCGTGTGTATGTGGGGAGACTTAAAAAAAAGAATTCTTTTTTTTACGCTTTCTTTTTTACACTCAACTTTATTGCTATTACATAGGGGGCTCAGAAGCCTCAGAATTTACATGACCTGTCCTCTTTATGGAGACATCAGGGGTCTCCACGACCCCTGTCACCTAGGACCCCCCAGAGAAGCTGATGAAGCAGAGACCTGCTTCAGCAGCTTTTCCCCAGCTTCTGTAGCTAGAGAGTGACAGCAGAACATGGAAGTGATATAATATACATCACTTCCTGCATTCGGGGACTGGAGAGGAGAGGGGATCGGAGGGAGATCGTGTACCGAACTCCATTTGATCTCCTGTCACAGAGCAGCCGTGCCGGTCCCAGCTGCACCAGGTCTCGGGACCGGCAACGTTAGCGACAGCGCAGCTGGGAGGGTTGTGTAAAACCGCAGCTAATACAAGCGATCAGGCTTCTCTAGTAGCTTGAATGCAAAGCTACTGGTTGGGCTCTGGTGTACGATTTTTCACGGTGTGTGCGCGTGTGTGTGTGTGTATATATATGCCTCTACCATGCCAGAGCCTCCAGCAAGGAGGCTAGCAGTCATAGGCAGCAGATACACACTGCAGATATACAGCTATCAGGCTGCAGGCACATGAAGCCCTAGCCACCCTAAGGAAGGAAGGTATTAAAAATAGTTTTTTGTCAAGGTACTGCTTAGGCACAGCATTCCTTAAATGTTCCCTATAATATAACAAATCCTTTTTTTTTTTCGATGGTCAACTTTGAAGAACTCCAGGAAAACGTTCTTAACCGTTGCAGTGGGGCTACCCCTGCACAGCAAGGGTTAAGTGTTCATTTTTGTCTAAGTGCTAGAGTTTAACAAAAAAAAAAAAAAAGTTTTACTAACCCAAGCTTCAAGTCAGCCAGCTGTCACAGCATATCCTCCTGCCTCTGTCCTCCTCCACTGCAGCATTCGAATGTTACTCTGGGTCCTCACGTCTGTACAAAGTGTAGACAATGTATTACAGGACCTCAGACTGATGCAGAGGAGGGGGAGAGAAGCTGGGAGCACCAGTCTAAGAACAAGCCAGCTTGGAGCATCTGATTACTTTTTTTTTTAACCTAGACAAAAATGAGCAAAGCGGTGGTAGGCCCATGGCAAGGGTTAAAAACATTTTTCCTAGAGTTTAAAAATGAAATGAGCCAGACGTTAAATCTTAAAAATGCATTCAAGTACCCTATTACCAAAAATTTAAAATTAGTGCATCAGGCATAAAATCATCTCTGAATTTATGTCGCCACTGTCCTTCCTTCTGTTCCCGGTGGTCCCTGTGTGTTAAGCAGCCACCGCTCCAAGCTCGCTCCTGTGATGGACTACAATCTCATGTTTAGCTTACTAATTTGTATTGAGATTGTAGTCCATTGGGGGGCAAACTTGTAGTGGCTACTTTACATCGCACACAGGGGCCATGGAGGAACAAAAGTAGCCACCCTCCAGAAGTGACAGTGTCAGTATGAATTTAGAGATGGTTTGAGGATCTACAGCTGAGTGACACACAAATAAGATACATTTTTGTTATTAGTTAGGGCTAGTTCACACCAAGCGTGGAACAGATCCAGAGCAGGTGCAGACCGGATCAAAACTGCGTCCAATGTATTCCTATGGTATTTTGAGCTCCAGTTCACATTGCAGTGTGCAGATCCAGAGCAGGTAAAAAAACTGCAGCAGGCCCTATTTTACGTGATCAGGATCTGCAAACGCATCAAAAATGCATGCAAATGCCTGGAACGCACTGAAAGCCCATGTTAAAAAAAAAAGGTTTAAAGCCAAAAACGCATCTAAAAGACTAGCGTGCATGTGCAGAAACCTGACCGGATCTGCTCTGCATTTGGTGTGAACAAGGCCTTAGGGTACTTGAATGCATTTTTAAGGTTCACCTCCTGAGCTTAGTGTCACTTTAATACCGGTCTGTTTTGTTAATACAGGTTAACGGACATTATCTTTCAACTAGAGGCAGGTCAACCACAAACTACAATCCCCTTTAGATTTTCCAACAAGGCAGAGAGATCTCAGCAAGCATAAAGGCTGTGACAAACCGCATGTGAAGCAGCATGGAGTGGGAGCACGCTGCCTTTGCGTGCAGTGTGTCATGTCATTTTCTCTCCGGCACGTCACCTTGCGAGAGCTTGCATAGCTGAACGTGCAGAGATGAAAAAGTTCTTCAGCCAATCAGCTCGGGCCCAGCATGCGAAGTCCATCGGGTTGTTATGCTCGATCCGACTGGCTGAAGATGTAGTCATTCATCTGGCTGCACTCGGCTCACACACTGAATGTGATGCTCCGTGCCTGACAGCTTTGCTTCGCTCTGCACGGCTTTGCATGCAGTGTGTCACCGGCTTTAGTGTGAGAGTGGGGCTAGTGCAGTTACATTTTAAACAAGTTGCTAATTTGCACACACAAAATTGTTACGAAGTAAAGAGGAAAAAACGCATACAAAACGATGGTGGATTTGTAGCCAGGGGTTGATCATGAATGCAACCCTGCCTACTGATTCTGGTGACCTGGGAGTGAGCAAAGTTAATTCTTTGATAAGGGTTACAGAATACCCTTCTTTTTACCATTGCTCATAACTTAGTAACATTAATCAGCACCACAATCAGACCTAAAGTGATTGTGAACACTATTCACTACACTAAAGACCAGGAACAAAAAACATAAAAAAATAAAAATTATGCAGACTAAGAAAGTCAGAAAATGACCATTATTCCTTTCACTGAATACACCGAAGTCCAGAGGCCTATATGGCAGCCACGAACTAGCACTTTAACAGATAAAGATTAGCAATGGTAGCCCCCGCATTTCTCTTATGGCAGTATTCCTTAAAAGCAGTAATGCCTCTGATACACTTTGGCTAATTAAAATGATTCTTTGGTTTTTCTGTTACTGCCAGCGCCCTGCTTATTGGACAACAAAGTGATTACGCTGAATACATTGTTCGATCAGCAGGCTCGCGGGGGCACAGGAAGCTAAAATTGCTGAAGTAGAAGATATATTGCTTACTCCGGTATCGTGTGTTACCTTGCCTGTACGTGCAGTGTGGAAAATGAGTCTAAGGCTGGCCATACACCTATAGATTTTTGATAAGAATGTTCATTGCTGCCAAGAACCCACGCTTGTCAAGCACAGACCAATGTCGATTTCGAATTTTGTCAATCAACAGAACAGATTTTTTTTGCGCATGTGCAGTGTTCGTGCTGCGATTTTCCTACGAAAACACCACTACACTAATCCATCGATTTTCGTTTGTGATCAGGAAAAAAAAAAAAAAAAGAAGTTTTCCAGCCTCACCCTTTCAGAAAATTCAAGCGGAATTACAGGGGGAAAAATAAAAAAATCGTTGGTATCCCCATCAACCGTTCAATTATCGTTTGAAAGACCATTCGTGGAAGATTTTCAAACGAAAAATCGAAAAGAACATGGGCACCTTAAAATTGGTTCTGCAGAATTAAAAATCCTTGGAAGGTAAAGATAATTAATAAAAATGCATTTCAACTGTGTACCTAACAGTCTGTATGCCTGGAACTGGCTTTAAAGCAGAAGTCAAAAAACAAAAATGGCTAGAAGTAAAGAAGCGATGTGTAAAGTCTAGCCTTATCTACAGCTCCATCAGGGTTGTAACCAATCTACAGTTTATGGTTAGGTTCTAACTTTCATCTTCTGCCTGCCCTGACGTGTTGGCCATATGCCTTACAACTTCAGGTCATGCTGAATTAGTGGGCTTAAATCCTGGGTTCTATGCTGGACTTGGGAGTCATTTTTATTCCCTTTGCAGGGTATGGTTTCTACTCAATTTCAGAGTTCCTTACTGGTGAGTCTCGCCTTAGCAAGGCGATTGTCTGAACAATCAATCTTTTGAGGTACAGTGTTCTCATTTCATGAACCTTACGACGTGAGTTGCTTACAAGCTTAGAGCTTTCCTACTTTGATATGCTAGTCTTGTCACTTTACATGCTCCCCCCCCCCATGTTTCTTGCCTGGTTCACGTCTTTTAAAAGGACTTGTTCCCCTTCCTTGTTAACCATGTTTTGTTGTTGTCTTTTTTTCTGCCCACTTCCCTAAATGTGGATTTGTTATTATTCTACCACAGGGGTAGGCAATCTTGGCACTCCAGCTGTGGTGAAAACTAGAAACTTCATCCTGCCTCTGAGAGTCATGTCTGTGTGTCTTGCAATGCCCCATGGGGCTTGTAGTTTCACCACAGCTGGAGTGCTAAGGTTGCTTACACCAGTTCTACCCCTTAGTGGGGTCAGGTTGTCCAGTTTATTGCTTGGTCTAGGATTCAAAGCTCCCTTCTATATTCAGTCATTCCTGGCATGGGGACACACTGGAAGTCTTCAGCTGACAGTGTGCTGGCTTCTACTGTGTCCCTCTATCTTTAAAGCCCATTTTCAACTTTGCAGAGGTATTTAAAAAAAAACAAAAAAAAAAAACATATGCCAGCAATGTACACTGAGTGTACATGAAACAGGCATATTCAGTAGCTGTGCAAGAAACCACAAATGTACTTTGTTAGCTTTCCTCTATCCCCTTATGTAAAACTGTCTGCCTGTGTTTTGCAAGCTCTTTCTCATCTTTCCCATTCATTATTATTCAGAGTGGCAGCCCCCTCCCCCCCCCTTCCCCCCACTGTCTTGTCTGTAAAGGCAGAGCTGCTGTTTGCTAATCATGTTACAATGAATAACAGGGAGGGGGGGAGAGAGATGTTTACAGCCAAATTACCATCCCACCCTGGTGTAGGACTGATTTTCCTAAGGAGAAAAATGTTAAATTTTTAGGCTTAATGCCTAATATAAAAAGGTGCAATAAAAAAAACCGAGGAAAGCCTAAAATGTGAGTCATGAAAATCTGCACAAGTATACATCATTACTGCACCTCTACATAGTTAATACATATAATACAAGCCACTTACAGAAGGTGGAAATTAACTTTAAGGCAGAATGGGCTACCGCCAGGAATATCCACCCTTTACTTCTATACATGTTCCAAGATGGAGTCTCTTATAGATTAGAGTTAGGGACCACGCTAAAAAGGAGGAGGAGCCTTGATGAGGCAGTGTGGCTTCCACATATTTGAAATTGTATGCAACTAAAATCTTTGTTTGAAACACAAATTGTTACAGTGTAATTTGTGTTGTTTTTTGCTGGCTAGCTGGTAAGTGCGCTGAGAAGTGTTTGCAAAAAAGCGTTTGCATGTGCACCTTTATTTAAAAGGCTAGCTATAAACTGACTGGAGCAGTTTCCATTTTGTTTTAAACCATTATTTTTTTTCTTGGTCTCAAACATCAAGTAAATTCTCAATGTCCTCCCCTTTGGGCGTGTTGGCAGGTTCACTTTTCAGGTAGTGTGTTTGGCCTTATTTGGCATCAGATTCAGGCATTAGCTCTCCAGACAGCTCTGGGGCTGCAGGCAGCTCCCAGTTGCGTTTTTGTTGGGCCTGCCAACGGTAGTTGTCATTTGCCCACTACTCCGTTGGGCTGCTTTTGGATATCCCAACGGTATATGCCTCAATGGATGTGAAAGAAGAATTTTGGACCTTTCATTCCTTTTTTTTGGAGACCATTGAGGAACATATGTCATCCACCTATGTGTTTATGGTTCTGCTCTTGGCATTGCTTACTACAACCTGAGGCAGGCTAAATGAGGGGTTAGTCTTTGATGATCTACAGATTTTAAGTTTGTAAGTGTCCAAACTTCCTGTAGGTAGCAGTATAACTTGACACTATGCGATTTCCTCTGCCCTCAATGATCTCCAAGAGAAGGATTTTACGGCAAGTACAAAAAAAAAATTATCCTCAATACTTGATTGCTAGTGTACCATCGTACAAATGTGGGCCATGCACTTAATCACTGTCTAGGTATGAGGTATGTGTGCAGAGCCAATTTGTCTAAACAGACTTCTTACTTACTGGTCTTATCAATGAGACTTTGTGCCTGTTCTTCCATCCATTTCTGATAGTAATCCTTCACATTTTCCTTGTGTTTTCTTCCACTGCAATGGGTCTTACGAACTGAAGGCTGGAAAGTAAATAAAAAACACAATTTAGTCTTAGTTTATATACTCACAGAAAGGATTTAATGGACAATGCAACATATGGATTTGTCAACTCCCAGCCATGTATCTTTCTGCCAGCCAGCACCACTGCTCAGTCTGAACATAGAGAAGATTTAAAGTCTGGGATATCACTGTGCAGCAATAGCGAGCAAGGGAGGACTGCAAGATAAAGTATTATAGCTTGCTACCCTCCATTCAGCCCTCTAAATGGTTCTTAGCCACACAGACACTCTGCCAAACAGATTTAATCGCCTGAGGTTTGAAAGACAATTTTTAGCCAACTAATGCAACACTACAGCAAAACTCGTGGAATGAAATACTGCTTAAAACTAATACTTTGAGCAACATGGAGAGAAAGTCAGAGGCAGCAATCCATGTGTGTTGTCCTGATCACCAATGGGACCCAGGCAAGGCACTGGGAAACATCTTAATAATCTTTTTAAAATATACACAGGCTAGAAGCAATGCTTAGAAATTAGTAAATGAAATATGAATCAACAGAGATAATATATAATAAACTTACCGAGTCATGGGTGAGGTAGGTATCACAGTAGTCACAATAAAACCTGCAGAAAAACAAAATTGCACACGTTAACTTGCCACATGGTAAAGCTCGGCACCTCTACTGTATCTACAGCATGTACAAAAGCCCACTCGCCCAGAACCGTAGAGAAAATAGCTCAAAATTAACAAATTCCGACTCGTTTACTTACTTAGGCATGGTTCCGACGACAAACCCGCCACCTTTGTCTCCACCGGAAGCGATCCAGGAAGCTGCCCGCCGGTTAATGTCGACAGGAAGTTGCGTCAGACCGAGACCTTTCAGCGGGACCTCCATCTTGATAAAGGGCAAATTAATTCCATCTCTATAGGGCTTGAATTAAGCCCTAAAGCTATAAAGTAGTGTTTACACTACAACAGTGACTTTCGAGACACTTTTTTTAATATTTGATATGGCTAAGCACTCTCTCAGCTGTATAATCTGCTGGGGGCGGAGTCAGCCGAGATGCGTCTGAACCGTGTTTGTCGTGACGTCACGACGTGTCTAGCGCTCAGGAAGCGGGGAGGCCCCGAGTGGCCTGCTGCGGAGCCGTAGACCGGGGCCCTTGAATAACGGTCCCGGGCCACGGTGACAGGTGTACGTGCGGAACGTTGAACCCGAGTCTATCGGCCTCGGGTCAAAGGTCACCGACTCGGAGGTCAAAGGTCATTGTCGGTCTTGGCGGAGGAGCCGCAGCCCCTGGGGTCAGGTGGGCAGCCTGGAAGTTAGAGAGAGGGAGGCCTGAGTGGAGGAGACCGTAAGTGGGACCGGTAAGGTCCGCCTTGGCGGTAGTTTCCCGGCTAGTGGATGTCAGTGGCACCTGAGCGCCAGAGCCTGGGGTGGACAGAGGACACCTAGACGTGTTTACTCGCTGCGAGGAGACTGTTCTCTGCTCTGGCCTGTTGTCATGGAGGGGATGGACGTTGATCTAGACCAGGAACTCATGCAGAAGTTCAGCTGTCTGGGAACCACCGATAAAGATGTTCTCATTTCTGAATTCCAGCGACTACTGGGCTTTCAACTCAATCCTGCAGGCTGTGCGTTTTTCCTGGACATGACAAACTGGTAAGTGGGGTTCGCCTTCTATATCTTTCCATCAGCTTTGTTTGTTTGTTTTGAAGCAGGGCATATTCCGCTTTTTTCAGAAATACATGAAGCCCACATTACAAATACGTTTGTTTATCTTTTGTATTGAATACTGCAAAGCATTGTAACTGAGATTGGTAGATCACATGGGCAGGCCACTCCGGACTGTTTCTCCATCCCCAGGTTTGTACTGAGCTACAGGGTTGGAGGAAGTTAACAATGGACTACGAGTGCAGTGATGTCCATTAAGAACTATGGGTCCCGCTGGCAGACGCCACTTGTTCTTTTTATTTGCAGATGCTGTAAATGATTGATGCGGCTGTGCAGCTATGCCATAATAAAGTGACATTAAAGGCTATTTTTTCCCCCGCTCCCCAATGTTAGTGTAGGGACTTACCTTAAATGATGCCTCTTAATCCGATCATCTTCTTCTTTAGTGTAGTTTTCAGCTGTCCGTCCAGTGCTGGTACTGGTCTGGAATCCAGCGCTGACTCCTCTGTCCTCCTCTTCTCTGATGTCCCACGGAGTCTGTGCGGGTGCACGCTGCTCCATAGACTTACCTTGTGTCTCTACCCATCTCCCGGCCAAACATCTGAACTGCGCATGCACCCGCCCCAAGATCCTTTGCGGCCAACCGAGAAATTTTCAGATGTTCGGACGGGAGCGCGCGGCGGAGACGCCGTTAAGTATTAACCCTTCAAAAGAGTTTTTTTTAAAAATCGTTTTGTATATAACTACTGCTTGCTATCAGTAGATATATGCAAAAACCGCAGAGGGTTTAATAACCCTTTAAGCCAGAGGTCTCAAAGTACCGGCCCGCTGGCCAGTTGCGGCCCGTGTGCTGGTACTATGTGGCCCGCAGCCAGCTCAGAAGTCTAGTACGCGGCCACGGACCGCGTACCAGACTTATGGGAGCAGCTACACGGTCTGCATCTCTGTCGGATGCAGACGGCATAGCTGCTTCTGTGCTGGCACTCGGATCCTTTCAGCCAGCGTCTACGCTAAACGCTGACCGAAAGGATTGATTAGATTAGTAAGGTCTGCAGCAGACATTACTAATAAACACGCGTTTGTCTTACCGCGAATTGCGGTAGAAACGCACATATTCGATAACGCCTAGGTGTGAACAGAGCCTTGGGGCATGTCAGTCCTCTGGAAAGAGATTACAGCTTCCCCACAAAGGGTGCAACACTAAGCCCTCGTTCACACCTGAACGTTTTGTAGCGCGTTCTACGCTCGACGAACGCTCTACAAAACGCTCAAACATCTAAATCCCATTGTATTCAATGGGTCTGGTTCACACCTTGGCGTATTTCAGCCCGTCCCTAACGCGCTACAAAACGGCCCATGCCTGAAAAGGTACATGTACTACTTTGGGCCGTTTTTGTTGCGCGTTTCCATTGGGATACAGCCAAGTAGCCCTCGGAAACGCGCATTTGTCGCGCGATTTTTTTAACCGCGAATCGCGGTTTAAAAAATGCGCAACAGGCGCGCATATGCAATACTCCTAGTTGTGAACCAGGGCTAAGTGTATTAGGCTCCATTCACACCTGTATCTTAAGGTGCAATTAGGGATTCCTGCATCAGGAACATGCGTTTCCTGCATCAGAAATCCCTAATCTGAAGTTTAAGGCTCTGTTCACACCTAGGCGTATCGAATATGCGCGTTTGAAAGAGCGATTTGCGGTAAAAAAACGCGCGACAAACGCGCGTTTCCGAGGGCTACTTGGCTGTATCCCAACGGAAATGCTTGAAAAAAACGCCGCAAAGAAGCTCATGTACCTTTTCAGGCGTAGGCCGTTTTATAGCGCGTTCAGACGGGCTGAAATACGGCAAGGTGTGAACCATACCCATACAAAACAATGGGGTTTTCATGTTTGAGCGTTTTGTAGAGCATTCGTAGAGCGTTGAACGCGCGACAAAACGTAAAGGTGTGAACCAGGCCTAAAAGCGGCAGCTGTCACCTATTCAAGTTAATGATCAGGTGAAAGCAGTTGCATATAAACTCCTGCACACCGCATGTAATGATACGTGATATTATTACATTCGGTTAGGAATCAGTCACTCTCCCTGGACGCAATGATTGTGTATCCAGGGGGTGTGTGTTCTAACCGCATGTAATAATATCACATATCATTACATGTGGTGTGCAGGAATTTATATGCAACTTCTGTCACCTGATCATTAACTTGAATGGGTGACATCGGCCGCGTGTAAACACCAGATTAGGGATTCGTGCTGCAGGAAAACGCAAGTTTCTGACGCAGGAATCCCTAATCGCACCTAAACCTACAGATATGAATGGGGCCCTATTGTGTGTGTATTGGGGTCTGTAGTACCATATCGCATATAGTTAAATTTTGTTTTAAAGGAGAACTATGGGGTAAGTGTTTTCCCCCCTAGTTCTCCCAAGGGTCACGGGAGGACATAAACTAGCGTCCTCCCTTCACCCTGGGCTCAGTATACCGCGAGCTGTAGCTCGCGGTATACTGAGACGCCGCAGTATACCGCGAGCAGCTGCTCACAGTATACTGAGACGCTGCAGCGGATCCTGACAATTGTGCCGGGATCCGCCCAGCTGCGTGAGTGACAGCTGGCTCTGCCTATCTAGAGGCAGAGCCAGCTGTACCCTCCCCCGTCTGTTCCTCCAGTCGGACAGGGAGGGGGGGGATCCCTGCAGGGAGCTGTGAGTGACAGGGACAGGATCGACCTTCCTGTCCAGGCCATTTTTCAGTATTACGCACCAAGGTACTTTGGCATTTATTCAGTCATGCAACGCTGTACCCAAATTCATTTTATGTCTCTTTTTTTGTGACCAACAGAGTTTGGTTTTTTTTTTGGGTGGAATTAATCATCACTGGGTTTTTTTTTATTTTTTACTATCGAAAGTCAAAAAATACTAAAAATTTTGGGGAAAACACTTTTTGCCAACGCTGTTATTCAAACATTGCAAATAAGTAATCTTTCTTCATACATTTATGCCAAAATCTATTCTGCTACATTCCTTCCCAAATGTTAATTAGAATGGGAGAAAGTGATATAGTCTACAAACTATGGTATATATATTTGAAATGTATCAGCTCAGGGGTCCTGACTGTCTATCGCATTTCTTGAGGCCCTAAAATGCCAGGACAGTAGAAACACCCTCAACATGACCCCATTTTGGAAAGCAGACACCGCAGGGTATATGATAAGATGCATGGTGAGCATTTAAAGCATTTGATATTTTGGTGCAGGTTTTCAGAAATTAAAGAAAATAATATACAAGGAAGGAAGTACAGGATGCTGGACAAAGAGTAAACAAAACAGTACCTGTGGTTCCAGGAGTGCAGTTGTCTGCAGGGGATGGCTGGGACTGGTGTTTCTGGTGGAATGATTGTTGGTGGGGCATGCAAATGGGTCAGTACAGACAGGAGACAGAGACCAGGCCAATATCAGTTCAGGTGAAAGGCGCAGACATGGCCAGTATGCAGGTAAAGAATCAGTCCAGGTGGCAGCCAGAAACGTGGTTGTTAAAAAAATCAAGGGTCAGCTCAGAAGGCAAGCAGAGGCATGGCCGGTATGCAGGCAAATTACTGTATTAGGGCAGCAGGCAGAAATGTTGTTGATAAACAGGAGTCCGAGCACAAGTAAATAGCAGCAAGTCAAGCACATGAGAAACACCATATACCTACACCACTAATATCGCAGTGGCTATGGTGGAGACGGAAGCAGCCTTTAATGCAGTGGACAGGTTGTGAGGGACAGTAGCAACAGTAGTAACGCATCAGCCTTCCTCCATACTTGCCTGTTTTTTTGGGGGGAGGGGTCTCAGGTCTTCCTGGGTGGAAGGGATAATATCGGGGAAATGTCTCTCATACAGCCTGCTGACTGCATCGGACTGGAGCCCTGGTAAATCAGGGCTGTTATAATTACCTCTTGATATTAGGTAAGAGCAAACTCTTCCTGCAGTTATAAATTACATATGAATTGTAAATAGCCAATTGGAAAGGATAGATGGAGTCTTTTTTTGGACCAGCGAACTGATCTTCCTGTTGCCAGGTATGGGCGCATCATCTGGTCACTGAAATCTGCACCTCCCATATGCAGATTGTATTAATGGACATCATAGAGGTTTTTGAGAGAGACCAGAATGTCCCTGGATTTTCACTGAGGTATCTGAATGGATAGCTAGAAGGATATAAACGTCCTGTTTGTCCTCATTCCTCAAACTTGCTGACTCCACTAAGGCTGCAACAACTAATCCATATAATCAATAATGAGAATAATTGTCAACGATTCTCTTTATCGATTTGTTTATTCAGCTCAGCCGCCGTCCCCTCCATGTCCGTCCGTCGTTCCCCCCGCGCCGCTCTGCTCCACTGTTCTCCCCGCTGGTGCCAGCTGCAGCGGTCTGTGTCCATTTCAATCCCCGCTGCTCTCCCTGTGTCAGCAGAAGCAGCGAGGGCACAGAACGCTGCAGCTGGCACCAGCGGGAAGAGAGACCGACCATGTATCGGCATTCACCGTCTCGTCCACTGCTGTCCCCACTGGTGCTCCGGTGCCTCGGCTGCTCTTCTGTGCTCCCCCATGCCCCCTCTTCTGCCGGTAGAAAGTCGGCATCCAGTACCCATCCAGCGGCTGGGAGCAATAGCCAGCCTGCTATTGGCTATTGAAATTTTAAAATAGCCAGTAGCAGGCTGGCTATTGCTCCTAGCCACTGCCTGCTGTGTTTACAGCTGTCATTCCCCAGCAACAGCTATTGAAGTGGAAAGATGACACTAGGGGTCTAATAGATTCTAATGTCAATTAAAGGAGAACTATGGGGTTAAGTCTTTTCCCCATAGTTCTCCTTAGGGTAATGGGAGGACACAAACTAGCGTCCTCCCTTCACCCTGGGCTCAGTATACCGCGAGCTGTAGCTCGCGGTATACTGAGACGCCGCAGTATACCGCGAGCAGCTGCTCACAGTATACTGAGACTGACAGCTGGCTCTGCCT